CATGTGATGTTCTTCAATATTTTTGTTTTATGGTTTCGTGCAGTACGTGTTCTTTGGGGTAAAAAAAACAAAGAAAGTTCCTAAGCATTTTTTTGCTGAAAATATCTCAATAATTAATCAAAATTATCAAGAGTTAAGTTTGATGGGCGCGTACCAGCAAAAACCATTATTCTAGAGAAAATATAAATCTTAATAAGGATCTCAATCATTGAGAGCTGATAGATTTACAACCTACTAGATCTCCCTAGCTTTTCAGGGAGAACAAAGAGCATGGAAGTAGAAGAAAGAAAATAGAGTGAATGAGTTTGTCAAAAAATAATAACATGTTGATTGTGTTAAGAAATACTTAATTAGATAGATCAAGTACACCACATCATTTGTAATTCGTTGAATTAAAATGCTATAATTAATATAAATAAAATCTTGTTTGACATTTTTAAATTGATTTTATTATTATAACAGAATGCATATTTAATATCTTGTTTGTTTTCTTTCTACTATCATTAATATTATAATCAATTTATATTTAATACTATTCAAATGTTATGTTTTTATTGGACAGACTACAAATAACGTGATGCACTCAATTTACCTAAGCATTTCTTCTTAAATATAATTAGTTAATTAATTAATTCTCCCATGAACTCTCTAACTAAGTCAACTTTTGGATAGAGATAAAAATTGACATCTAAAGGATTGTAAGTTTGGTTTCTACTTAAATAGACTCACTTATATGTGGTCTACGTATCATAATTCACACAAAATTATTAAAAAATTAATATATTCTGGAGTCAATCACTAATTAATGTAAATCCAAAATAATCCAAACATTTTTCCCACTCTTCAATGCGGAATTTTTTGCCTCTATTTTTGGTCCAATAGGCACTTTTGCTGACATACGGAAATTTCTGAAGGTGTTCAGTATTCAAAAACTCAACATTCAACCGAGCAGTTTTCTGAGGTTTTCACTAATGATTGTAAAAAGTTCAGATCAGTTTCAAATTATAAGTATAAATAGTTACTATCGAGATAAATAAAAATGAATTTATGGGCCATTCAAAATTTTAACATGAAATAGGTGGGTCCATTGTATTGGATCTGAGTGAATAACAAGTCACGGTACAATGCTAATGTAAAAGCTGAGATAACTTGGGTGATAGTGCGCTTGCTTATACATGTTACAAATCCTACCGGAAGGACCTTTACTGTCCGAAGCTTTGGAAAATGGAAACTTTAAGGGTATTGCTGATCCAAGGTTGCAGAATAATTACAACTTTGTAAGAGATGCATTGAATGGTTTCTTGCCATCCAGCTGGACATCGCCCTCAAATGAGCCAGGTTAGTGAACCAAATTGTTAAAATATGTTTATGTATTAGCTAGTTGTCATTGACTAGTATGAAATATATGTACAAAACACATATTTTTTAAGCTTTAATTTAATAAAATTTTTTATTTTAAATTCATAATTATATTTGTATTGGATTTAGGATATCTTTGATGTTTTTCCTTCAAACAAATGCCTCAATATTTTTATAAAATTTTTGATAAGACTATCTTTATAAATAAAACCTTCTAAAAATTTATAAAATAAATTTAAAAAAAATTACAAAAATCAGGAGCTCTGTCCTTTCCTGCTATCAACAAAGTGAATAGCAAAAATAAGAAGCTTATTGATAGAGGAAGCTTGAGTACACTCACCCTCGCCAGCGACGGCAGCACTGATGAACGCCGGAAGAACGTAAGGAGAGAAAGGCAATCTCGCTGAGCTCTGGAAAATTCGAAGGTGCAGAAGGAGGAGGAGAAAAATTAGACGGCGTGTGCGTGTTGGGCTTCTGATGCACTTTCTCTCGCTGTTTAGTCTTTTTTCCGCCCTTCATAGGAGCAAAACGGTAATTTACTGAGGATTTGAACCCAAGATGATAGATATGAGATATGTTGTTAGCATTAACTCCGTTAGAACATCACACGTTTTTTATATAAATTTCTCCAAGACTAATTAAAATACACTTTAAACACTTTATCATATTTTTAAATTTTATTTGAAATTTATGGATTATTATGCTAGTTCTCTATTCCCTGTTTCCCTGTTTCAAATTAAAGATATATTCAGCACTGGCATGAACACACATGATAAAGTGAATGACATGAAGCAGATAGTTCAAGCTTTGCTGGGAAATATTAGTCTGGAAGATGTGGAGGAGAAGATCACATATCGATGCGTCAGAATAGCGATGACCTGAAGAAGTGGTGGAAGGTGGCACTAGAAAGCGTCATAGGTAGCAGCAGTGGTGAATGCAGTGGACCTATCACTACCGGTGAGTCTGGTCAATTACATCACTCTGCCTCCGCCGGGAGCTCAGGCCCCTCCAAAATAGAAAACTGAAAATACTCCCATGAGGCATGAAATATACGTGGAATTAATGTGAAGGCTAGCTGGTAAAGACTTTGACTGATAATATAACTCTCATGAATTGAATAATGAGGATTGGTCCTTCACAAAAATGCACACCTCATCAGTCGTTGGTAAATATAATTTTATGAGCTTTATAAAAACTTATCTTTGCCATTTGACCTTAGACATTTCCATCAAGTGGTGAAAACAATGTCATATTAATAACTGTGATTGAGGTTTATTAAAAAAAAAAGGAAATTCGCCAGTTTTCTTATTGGTTTAGATTTATTGAATTTTAAATAAAAAAAGACTAGTATTTTAGAACAATCTTATTTTTTTTTTCAATTTCAATGCTCCAATTTTCAATAAAAATATAAAATTTGAAAAAATGACAATAAAATTCTACCAAAATATATAAATAACAATCAGGTTTCTTGAAATGTCATAATTAAGTTTTTAGGTACCTTTTTGATAGTAATAATTTTAGGTTAAATGACTAGATTACTCCTTATTTAAAATAAAAAAAATAATGAGTTCATGTGAAAAGTTGTAATTTCTTATTCAATTTTTACGAGTGACAAAATAAAAATTATGATTTCTTAAATAAAAGTCATAATTGGTTATTTTCGAAACTTGGATGTGATTTCATGTTCAATTTTTATGATTCACAGAATTAAAATTGTGATTGATTAAACAAAAATTGTGATGGATTATTTTCAAAATTTTGGACTTCAATGAAAAAAGAAATTTCACATGGATAGTTGTGATTTAATTTTTTGTTCAATTTGTGTGATTCACAAACTATTTTTGGAACTTATTTATCAATTATAAAAGAAATTTTATATGAAAAGTTATAATTTTTATATGAAAAGTTATAATTTCTTATTCAATTTTTATAATCTATAGAACAAAAGTTGTGATTAAAAAATAAAATCAAACCCATTATTTTTATTTTAAACACGAGTTAATTTAGTCATTTAACCTAAAATAATTAATGTTAGAAAGTATTCAAGAACTTCAAAAAAACTCTAATATTTTAGGAGACCTAATCATTATTTATATACTTTATTGAGATTTTATTTTCATTTTTCCTTGTCAAATTTACCCATTTTCAACTATTCGTACTTGTACCTTGGTTATAAAGCCAATAATATGGGCTTAACTTGCCAACCCACAAAAAGGTAATAGGCTAGGTTAGAAAAATGAGTTCAATTAGATATGAGATAGTTTTGGCCCGTATCATATAACTTGAAATTGTAGAAAGTTAACTCGTGAGTTGTCAAGTTAGCCCACTTATATTTTTCTAAAAGAAATAGACAAAAAAATGAATGAAATTGAATTTAAAGTAAAGCATCTAAAGCAAACATGTATGAAATTATAGTCTAAATAATTGATACTTTTACATTTATTTAACTCAAGTTTAAATTACGGTAGAAAATAATAAAAACACATTGCTTATATATATATATATATATATATTTATATATATATATATTTAAGTATTGATATAATGTAATTTGAATGTGATTAAGATAATATTGAATAAAATATTTTATTATACCTTGCTTCATTTATATAATAACTTATTTAGATTAACTTGTTTGTAAAATAGTGTTGACCAAGCTAGCAAATAAAAAAAATTTAGTTATTGTGTTTATTTAAAAATTAACATATTTACGAAGTGCAAAAATTCAACATAAAAGGTAAAAAAATAAATACAAAGATCATATTTTTATGTGATATAAATTGAATGTCTTATGAGTAATAATTCAATAGTCACAATTTAAATCATGATGATGTTTTTTTAAAAAAGGAATGGTATTTTAAATTGAGTCATAAATTTTGTAACAAAAATGTGAAAACAAGATGAAGAAAAAGGAGATAGACAAAGCATTTTTTTATTATTCATGTATACGTAATATTTATCAATGACGTAAAAGTTTATAGAATGAAATGATTATAAAATTAAATTAATTTATATTTAAATAGTGGTATAAGTATATCTAGATTAGAAGAACTTTCATTATTATTCGGATGATTAATTTTGAGAGGAAATATATGATTTTTTTTACTAAAAAAATAAAAAAAGGTGAATTTATAATTTTTAAAATTAAAAAAATTATAAAAAACATAGGTTTTTACTGACAAGTTGACTTCTAACTCATTGCGGGCTGTGCGGGTTCGCAGAATTATGACCGGCGCTACAAAACCAGCATTCCGTTGCAGGTCGATCCGCAGTCCGTACATTGATGCATATTATCAGCTCTATTCGTCGATATTGACTTAGGTGACTTGATTCCTGAGTCCTGAGATTAATCAACCAACAATAATTCTGGGCCATGAATAATGACTCGATTTTTTGATCACGCACCAAGTCAACATTGACCCAAGTCACTGGGCAGTGCATTGCTCTGCAAACTACGCGTCCCTGCACTTCCATGATATAATTTTCTTGGAAAGAAGAGCTCTTTCCTATCGATTGCGATTCCTCTCTCTCTCTCTCTCTCTCTCTCCAGAGTTCCTTCGCTCCTTCCGAAGCCCACGAAGACAGACACTTGAACTCTACGGTCACCGGCGATAACTTCAGCGCCGTCTTCAGGCAAACCTATGGAATCCACATACCCCACGGCTCCGGAGCAGACATTCGTCGATTCCCCAATAGACTCGCCTTCGATAGCTTTGCCGCCCTGGCCTCCATCCCCATTGATGCCGTCGTCATTGTCGGAGGCGTTGACACCTTCCCAGTCTACAGGGCCAATTCCTCCCACTACAGAGTCGCCGCCTCCCCTGACTCCACCGAGCCCGGCAAGATCGCATGTACCGTCATCAGGTACACCTTATGGCTTGAATTAATATCCATGTTAAATTTTTCTTTTTTATATAATAACTGTGAGTGAGGTTTTGTTCATAATTATATGAAAAAAGTAATTACAAGCTACTTAATTAGTTGTATTCACATCAAGTTTGCTTATATTTGTTTGATGCCGTCGTCGGCGTGGACACCTTCCCCGTATCTAGAGACAATAATCCTTTCCCTTTCCCAGGGTCACATGCAGAGCCACCTCCACAACCACCGGCGGCGGGGATAATTACAGGGACAGTGATTGGTTCATTGGTAATATTGGGATTATTATGTGTGTGTTTGTTTATATGGATAAAGAGGAGAAGGATCAGACTCTCTGGATTGGAGGACCCCTCTCCACAGCCACACCAATCTAATGGTAATATAAACCTTTTCTGCTTCTCTTTCATTCTTCAAGCATTTTGCATTTTCAACTTTCAAGGTTTTGTGAGGTTAAGCCTGCATGAGAAAGATGATAAGGTCTGGGCTCGGTTTTTGCCAGCTCTGCTCGCTGATCTTCCACTTTCTCAATGAGAATTTTAATTACCTTGCCAGTCTTATTTATAAAATGTTTTCTTGTGTCTATTAATATAAGTCATGGCATTATATTTTTAACATAAATTTTTTATTTTACTCCCCAGACCGAAAACATGTTATTAATATATATATATATATTTAATAAAAGTAAAGTTGATAACTTATTAAATTTTTAAATCGAATTAATAAATTTTAAAATTTTTTTTTAATTTTAGTAAAATATTTTAGAAGTGATTTAGCTCATAAATTATGATAAGAGGAGTATCAAATTCTATCAAACCTTGAAAATTATCAAAAAAATAAAAAATAAAACAATACTCGTGATCAAAATACCTCTCAAATATGCTAGCCTTCCAAAAATTTGAGATTTTTTACTTTCTAAATATCATATGATCAAATCTTTAATAATTATTCAGTTAAATCAACAATTATTATCATATCAAATGAAACACTCATTAAAATCCGATTGCGGTGTAGCTTCCGTTGATAAAATTTACACCCTCAAATTACACTAACACTTTTAGATTCGGAGTTTCAAAATAAAAAATTTATTTTTTTACAAGGTGTTGGCTGAAATTTATTTATTTTAATATTTGAGTATTAAAAATATAAAAAATAAAATGATATTGAATTTTTACCGTCTATAGTGAGGGGTCCCCATGGCCATCTTAATATCGGAAGAAGTATCATGTGTGCCTGTGAGTGTGGGATTGGGTGAGATGAAAGTTACTCTCTACCCCTCACACATATAACTTCTTATCCATATATTAAACAAAAATTGATTATACTTCCTCTGTACTGAAACATAAGACATTTTTTTTTAGATAAAATGTCTAAAAATATAAGGAATTTTGGGTTTTTCAAGGTGTACTTAACAAAGTTTTTCCAAATATACCCTAATTAGGAGTGTAATTAATAAGATTTTCTAATTTCTAATTGAGACACCTTATTAAATAATGATAAATATAAAAAATGTATAATTTTAAAGACAATTAACTAATTTATTAGGAAATATAATTTGGTTAAAAATGCTTTATAATTTTAAAGACACCTTATGGACATTTATATTCTATATGTTAGTTTTTTACAAGATGTTTAAAAAAATTCTGGTTGATAAATAATTAATTTATAAATTGAGTAATTACTTAAATAATTATTCATTATTTAATTGCTTATAGCAGAGGTTAATATTAGTTTAAGTACACCAAACATGTAAATTTTTTAGAGTTTATATTATAAATATATATATAATACTATGACTTAACTTTTATTTTTTAAAAAAAATTATATAATCCTAAAGGATTTTCATCTTATGATTTTTTATATTACAAAAATTTTTTAATATAATTTTTATTCTAAATATTAATTGTTTTTAAAAAATCAGCTTTTTTTTTTTGGAAATTTTGGCCCTCTCTGGATGGTTAGGTTGGAGATGGACCAACTGGTCAAATTGGGTCTACATGTCTCTCTCTACTTTTTTTTTTTGGGGGTAAAAGTTGGGTCTACACTTTAATTTGTACAAAAGATCTAATGATTCAACTGAAATAAAAATCCCACTCACTAAAAGTTTTGCTGAAAAAAATTGTTGTCTGAGTTTTTACAATGCATGGAGTAATAAATTTTAAAATATTTTGGATAATGGAATAAAAAATATTTTATTTTATATTTTTATTGGTATAATAAGCTATATGTAGATAATGATAAAATAACTATTAACTTGTTAAGATTCTCTCGTGTATCGCAACATGATAAAAATCTAGTTAAGTTTAAAAGAATGGGGGTGCTCCTTCCTTCAAGCGTGTTTGGTTGTACATTAAAAAAAGTGTCAAAACTATAGTTTTGATAATATTTAATGAAAATTAATTCATAGATTCTTATAGTTTTCTTTTATTTTGAATTATATTTTTATTAATTTTGTTTTAATCAAATAATCTCTGGACATTAAAATCATTAATGAATAATGAACTTTTTCCAGCACAAACACATTTATTGATTTAATACTTTTGGTCATAAAAAAAATCACTTAATTCAAAGTTTATTTTTTTAAAAAAAATATATGTATAAAAATTATTTAAAAGACATAATTTAATTATATAAATATTAAGTTATAAAAATTATACAATATTTTAATAAAAATATAAAATTTTTTAATTTCATCATTTTAAAGAAAAATTTCAAGGATTTTAATTTTCAAGATTAACAATGAATCAAACTATAAGGATTCAAGTAAAATAAATTAAATTATAAAAAATTATAAAGAGCTACAAATTAATTTTTTCTAATATTTATTAGGAAACCAGTCTCGTTTGTTGGTTGAAAAAGAGATCTTTGTCGAGTAGGTTGACATTATCATTCGTTTAGACGACATTGTGCTTGTTCTGATTTGTGCATTGTATTTAGGTTGACAGACTCTGGTTGAACAAACCTGCATTAGCTTAGTTGCCTCAAATAAGCTTTAGCCTAATCCGTTATACATAAATTTTGATTTTTTTTTCCTGGAAAAAAAAAAACATAAATTGCATGTGAAATTGTCCCTAATCCAAGGACTCAACGATTCTTGATGCCAATTTCTCCAGCTGATCAGTTTGGTGGCCCGCCCCAGCAATGGCAACATGGCGTTCCTCCTCCAACCAACGGTGGAGCAACGTTGCTTCCAAAGCCAAGTCCGCCCCCTGGAGTTCTGTTGAATCAGCAAGCATCGTCCAATAATGTCACATCTCCCCTATTGTGTTCTGCAAGTGGTACAAGTTTGGAATCTCAGAGACCATACCATGCACGATCTCCTGCCATTACCTTGGGATTGTCACAAAGCACGTTTACACATGAAGAACTCTCATTTGCAACAAATGGATTCTCAGACTCAAATCTTCTTGGTCAAGGTGGGTTTGGCTATGTCCATAAAGGAGTCCTCCCAAATGGAAAAACCGTTGCAGTTAAGCAGCTGAAATCTGAGAGCAGACAGGGGGAACGTGAGTTCCAGGCTGAAGTGGAGGTCATCAGCCGAGTCCATCACCGACATCTTGTTTCCTTGGTTGGATACTGCATTGCCGAAGCCCAGAGGATGCTTGTATATGAGTTTGTCCCAAACAATACACTAGAATTCCATTTGCATGGTATGATTCCAATATTTAATCCTTTCCTCATCTTCCAAAGTCGAGAAGTATGCGTAAGTGATGTGGAATGGAAAATAGCTTGGCTCTTTTTTCTTAGATAGGTTCCATTTGCATGGTATGAATCCAGTATTTAATCCTTTCCTCATCTTCCAAAGTAGAGAAGCATGCATAAGTGATGTGGAATGGAAAATAGCTTGGCTCTTTTTTCTTAGGATTTTCTGAAATTGTGGTCGCATACATTTTGCGATTTATTCTCTGTGCACCGTATCTCAACTTTCAATACCTTTTGGTCGTAAGGTATTTGGAACTAAGTCTTGATATAATTATTGAAAAACATGAGAAATTAATGTTTGGGGAAACTTTTCGGAAAGTTGCTACAAATTTGGATCCGATTGCAGCTCCCTGTTCTGTGGGAACAACAATAGAGTAAACAAAATTACGAGCTCAAAATTCATTGCAGATATGCATAAGTTGACAGGAACTCTACCTCACCACCTATAATGATGGCGTTTGAAGGTATAAACCAACGGTTAGGTTTAAGATTCAAGAATCAACATCTCAGAGTTTGTAGATTGCATTGGGAATTTAAGGTTGCAAAGAAATGGTGGGGAGAAGATTTTTGTGTTTAATCTGGAAACTAATGGTGTGGAATGCTGGAAAGGCTTTAGGATGTACTAGTTCAACTTAACCTCAAGTTTTCTCTTGCTTGTTCATAGCTAGCTTGTGATTTTCTTCCTGAAAATATATAAAATGAAAGAAACATGCAAGTAGAAAAATCATGAGGAGCACAGTTTTTGTTTTAAAATTCAATTTTATTCTTTTGTTGCTTACTTTAGTTAAAGTGTTATTTTGATTTCATGTTATGGTGTTTTGTGGAAAATATATCATAGACATTGTATGCTCATTGTTTAAGCTAAGTTGAAAGGTTAAACATGGTTATTTAAATTTAGAAATTCCCTTTACGGTCATGCATTTCATTAGAGGAATTGAAATCTTTCCTGACCTGTGCTGGCTATTGGGGGGCGATGGGCTCCACTACTGAGTTGCAAATTTGATAATCTTACTGATAACGTATTAGCAAATGTGATGGTTCCATTTACGATCATTCCAGGAAAGGATAGAATAACAATGGACTGGGCAACAAGGATTAAAATTGCTATTGGGTCTGCAAAGGGATTGGCATACCTGCACGAGGACTGTGAGTTTGCTCTAGAATTTATTTAACTAATTTACAGTAAAGACCCGGCAATTATTTTGGTTTCCTATGTTGGTCTTGGAATTTTTAGCTTTTTCTGTCTAATGCTGCTTAGGTCACCCAAAAATCATACATCGTGACATCAAGGCATCTAACATCCTTCTTGATGACAATTTTGAGGCCAAGGTAGGATTTATAACTTCCTAACCTTTTCAATCCATTCCAATATATGTAAATTATGCAAAAGCAGCAATACCTTTAGATTTTTAATACAGAATTTCACTTTCTCTCAAGCACTTATGTCTGTGTCTCTTATTCAGGTTGCAGATTTTGGACTTGCCAAAATTTCATCAGATGCTGATATCCATGTCTCCACTCGAGTAATGGGAACCTTTGGGTAAATTTCATTGTGCTGAATCTTTTCTCTTGAATCTCAAATGAAATGCATTTGCGGGGAAGTATGCTTCTTTGACCCCTCCCCCTTTTATATTAGCTGTCTGTGGCTTTTTTTTTTTTTTGGAGTTCTGATTTAATTTAATGCAGATACCTGGCTCCAGAATATGCTGCTAGTGGAAAACTCACTGAGAAGTCAGATGTCTTCTCCTTTGGTGTTGTTCTTTTGGAGTTGATTACAGGGCGAAAACCTGTAGATAAAACTGAGTCTTTCACAGATGACAGTATGGTTGAGTGGGTGGGTACAGTACTTCATCAATATTTCTCTCTTAAGAAACAGATTATTTATGGTGTAGTACAGTAAGCATGTGTGTATATTGAGTTTGTTATTATTATTATTAATTGTTTGTATGTAGAGCAGGGTGGGTCTGATTACTGTTTTTACTACTTACAATCATTACTGTTAATATTTTATTCAAATTTGGATTTGGGTATTTTGCTTTCATTTTTTCTTCCATTGGATGTCTTTTCCAAAATCAGTATTTGCTGTGTAGTTTAGAAACTCATGCAACCATTTAACTGTGTAGTTTGTACACTGGTTCACTTTCAAAGAAAATTATGTGGTGAACTGAAAATCTACAAAACTGATTTGCTCTCTTCTAACTATTTCAAGATGTTGAGTATGTGTTGAACTGAGCTAAAGCTGATAACTTGTAATGAATAGTTAAGATAAACTGGTGTACAAAACATTTTTCAATTTTTAAATTGTCTATCAGCATTCAGCAATACCTCTGTTGACAGAACTGATCGTTAAAAAAAATTCTGTTATAACTTAGTAATGGATAGGGGATATAAATATTGTACAAATTACAGGCAAGACCACTACTTTTTCAAGCTTTGGAAAATGGCAACTTTGATGTCCTTGCTGATCCAAGGTTGCAGAAGAGTTACAACTCTGATGAGATGCTTCGAATGATTGCCTGTGCCACAAATTGTGTGCGCCATTCAGCTAGGCATCGGCCTCGAATGAGCCAGGTCAGTTATCCAATGTAGAAATATGTCCTTAGTTCCCTGTTATTTTCTATTGTTTAATTGCTTTGGACATTCTATTTCTAGCAAGTGTGCATGAATCACAAATTCTCCTTACTGTGAATCAACCTCTTTCTCTCAAAAAAAAAAAAAAAAGAAGGAGTCCAGTGTTGACTCACAGTATATTGTCAAAGTTATCACAAGCTATTGGCAAATGTGTGCTAGAATGTCATAATATTCTGAAACCTAGAGATCCAGTGCTTGCATGTAACAATTAAGATGACTGGCATAAAGCAGGTAGTTCGGGCTCTAGAAGGCAATATTTCTTTGGATGATCTGAATGAGGGAAGCACTCCTGGGCACAGCAGAGCATTTGGTTCCTTTGCAGGTTCAGGTTATGATACTGGCCAGTACAATAAGGACCTAAAGAAGTTCAGGAAGCTGGCACTAGAGCAAGAAACTAATGAATACAGTGGGCCCAGTAGCGATTATGGTCAACATCAGTCAGCCTCAAGCAGTTCAGGCTTGCAAAATACGCAAGAAAAATAATGGGGAATATGGAAGGGGAGATTCACTAAGTTTTGGTTAAAACCTTTGAGTATTATCGTGAATTGAAGAATGAGGATTGGCACTTCATTTGTTGCTTCCTTCACAAAAATGCACGCCTGAGTCGTTGGTAAATATTATTTGTTGGTAGATTTTGCTGGTTCAGCGTACAAATTGGTTTGTTTGTTGATATCAGCAATCTAATTTATTTGAGAAATACGATTCTCTTGAATTTTGTAATTCAAACGGGTGTAAGATGGATTCACCTTGGATGCTAACATCTACTGAACAAAAGAAAGCCGTAACATTGGGAGTCTTGAGAAAAGGTGGAATCTGAATTTGTCTGGTTTATTTTGTAATGACGCATCATACAGTTAGATTGCTGGCATTGGTTTTCTTGGAGGTATTGATGTTAATATTATGAGTGATGATGGTGGGTGCACATGTTTTTGATAATGACTAGTCTGCCTCTATTACTTTTCAGTTTTCATCGTATTTATACATCAATGAAATTGCCAACATTCTTGTTTATGCTTGGGAATTATTCCTGATGTTATCATTCATTATTCTTGCTATATTTAGCTTCGTTTCTCTGATTATGCATCGGGCTAATGGAAGATTAAAAGTTGAATGATCCCATGAGGTCATGATTTTCATGGCAGCAATTTTGACGTATTAACGTGAGTTTGATGCTATATTTAAGTGATTTATCTATAAATAATTCAATATATATATATGAACTTATATATATATATATATATATATAAGTAGAATCACAACAGCGATGTAATGATGGTATGTGTCCTTTGTTAAATGTAGATAAGGGAAACTGCCCCTACAAGTTCTCATAGTTTACATCAATTTTTAATTGGGCCATTATACTTTCAAATGTTAGGCCTGTTTATCCATCCCACTAACAGTGTTCAAAAATCATTGATATGGCTCACGGATGTAGCTAACATGCAAGTATTCATGTGGATTAAATGGCTAACACGGTGTACTGAGAGGGAGAGCACGTCGGTCTATTTCATTGAAGGAGGAAGACATCTGCACTTCGCTTCTGCGCTCTGTTGCCACTGATTAGATTTCTACCATGTTACGACCGCAATGGTACTGCTTTACGTGGATATTGGCCTGTAGCTTGTCTATGAAGTGGTGGAAGATCTTCCCTCCTGATAAGTGCTCTGGCATCAATCATTTCATTGCCTTGTTTGCAATTCCTTTCCTCTCTTTCCACTTCATTGCCTCCAAAATGGCTTATCTATGATGAACTTTTGCTTCATTACTAGCGATAACCTTCAAAAGGTCATCGTTCTAGTTGTTCTCGCTGTTTTGACCAACGTGAGCAAAAGGAGTTGCTTGGAATGGACTAGAATTCTATGACATTGCCTATACCCTTCATGAACTGAACATGAAGCTACGGTGGAATACATGAAGCAGGAAGACAAACCGCAGTAGTGGAACGCAAAAGTGAAGTACAGACGTCTTCCTCCGAAATAGAAAGCGTGCCTCTCAGTGTACTGTGTTAGCCATTTAATCCACCTGGATGCTTGTGTGTTAGCCACATCATCCACTGTTAACCATATCAGCAATTTTTAAATGGTGTCAGTGGGAAGGGATTAATGGGCCCAACATTTGAAAGTATGAGAGCCCAAGTAAAATGATCAAAACTATAAAGGTCTGACTAAAATTAGAATGCTTTCCCTATAAATAAATATAAAACTATCTTATCCTTAAATATCTCTCATTTATCCCAACTTTTCCATTAATTTGTTCATAATTTCAGATCTTTCATTTAAAAATAGTAAGCAAATTATGTGTAATTTCATCTCCAAAAATCTCTCAAATATCCAAACTTTTCAACTTCTTACTCATAACTAATCTTTACTATCCCGTGCATTGTAGGAGAGCATGTAACTATATGACTCTAATTGCATTCAGCAAAAAAATGTGTCATCCAAATTAGGCTTAAACACATTCTCAAAAATCAAGAAACCTATTACTTCAAGGTATATAGAAATTGTAAATCTAATAAGTAGATGCAATAAGGATTACATGGATATCTAAAATTATATATAAAGTGAAACACGTTTGATTAGATTTAAAAACTAAACGCAAATCACACGAAGTTTCTAAATATCTCTTTGTAAAAAACATTCATTATAGCATATGTCCTATGAGCCAAAAAAATCTTCAAGCCTTCCATATTTTTAACTCTTGAAAGTGCTTCCCTAGCTAATTTTAGAGAGGTATGATAGTCCTTCTCTATTTTCCTTATTAATTATCTTTTTTTAAGTAAGTATTGACAATTCTTTGCTATTTTTCTCACTAATTTTCTTATTTCAAAAAGAGGTTGACATTCCTTTATTATTTTTTTTTACTAAATTTAAGTCTAGTTACAAAATCGACATTTTTTATAAATTTCCTTGAGAAATTTGGCATTTCAGAAAGGACTAAACAATGTCTCACTAAATTTCCTCGCTAACACACATTTTTTTAATATTGTTTATTGTTTTACCAGAAGACAATAAAGTTGTTGTAATTCTATTTGATGCCACTGTCAAAACTATATTTTTCGTTGTATAAAGTGATAAAGATAATGCATTTCATAAAAATGTTTTGCTAGTACCTCCATAATCATAAACAAAAAAAAAAAACAAAAGAAAAGAAAACCTCCAATTGGTAAAGACAAGGAAGATATGACGCAATCATATATACATCTTTGCTCGTCATTGAATAAACTATAATTAGCTTGAGTAAGTGCAAGTTACATGGATTACAGTTCAATTATTATAATATGGGATGGTTAGTCACATTACAATTCTTGTAATATGAGATGGTTACTCACATCAAATGTCAAAGCTCCTTGAGGTAATGGTAGAAAAAGATAGTCTTGAAGGGATTTCTCATTACTCTTTGGAAAATCAACCTCAGGTAGTGAAGCCCATCCCTTTTTAAAGATTGGAATATCAACAACTGTAATGTTAACGACATCTTCAATGATTAATTGGAAGTCTTGGACAAAACATACTAATTGATTGAAAAGACAATATTAAAATTACCATTAATTCATTCATAATTTTTAATTTTGTACTTTAAAAATAATAAGCACATTATGTGTAACTTCCTCATTTCTAAACATCTTAAATTATTCATAATTTTAAATTTCTATTTTAAAAATATTATGAATTTTTTTATAAAAAAATTCTGGGTAACTTTTCTACCCTCAAAATTATCTATATTATTCTAACTTCCCAAATTTTTTATTATAATTTTAAAAATCTTGATAAAATTTTCATAATAAATAAATTATGTGACTTCCCCACCCTTTGACACTTGAATACTTGTCATGGATGACTTTCCAAACATCTTGTGCATTTTGAGTCTTTAATGATTCTTCTTCATTGAAGTTGGGCTATACCAGCACGAGGCTCCATGAAATTATCGCCAGAATTATTAATATAAGTCTTATAGGATATATATTTTTAATATTTAATAATTTAAATATAATTATTTATAAATATTCATTCAAAAAAATTTAAATATTAAAAATTAAACTGATTTTTTTAAAATTTATACTCCCTCCATTAAAAAATGTAAGAAATTTTTTGAGGAGTTGGATGTTTAAAAATATAAGGCATTTTTAGTCTTTTGAGGTATAATTATTGTCTTTTTTTTCAAAAGTGCTCCTATTGATAATGAGTTTATATTTATTATAGGATGTTTAATGAGAATAAATATGAAACGATAAGGTTAGGTGGAAGGTAACTACTTTATTGAGGGTAATATTAGGTTACAAATGCTTTACATTTTTTAACGAAGGGAGTAGGTGAATATATATATTTTTTTGACCAAAGGTGAAATAGCATGAAAAATTAAAAGTCTTTCTACAAAGTGCATAAATCCTCCTTCAGAAATTTATATATAATAAAAGTTGACTCGTAAATTGTGCAAAAAATTTTTTAAATAAGAATAATATTTAAATGTTAAAATATTAAAGTATTAATATTTTAATAAGATTTAATTTAAAAAATTAATATTTTTAATTACTTATCCATATTGTTGCCATTATTGTTGATCTCATAATCACTTGTTAGCCCGTCAGAATGATTTGTTAAAATGATATTTTAATCTTTTATATGAGCAAGAAATAACATCAATCTATTAATATTTATTTGTAATTTAAGGAGACTTGATCAATATTAATTTTTTATAAGATATTTTTTATAATTTTTTTGGTCATTTTGTTATAACTAACAGTCAAATTAACAAATATTTAAGAGAATGATGATATTGTTCTATTTTCTAAAATGCATAAAAGGCAAAAATTATTGATTCTACAGTGCCCAGCATTCCTGAAAAATGTTTAAAAGAAAAAATTAGCACTTTAATCCTAATCTCTTTTGTGTGATCTTTTTTAGAGACATCTGTTTACAGAAAAAAACCACATCTTAATAATGGTAGATTATCCATTAACCATAATCTCTTTTTAATTTGTTATTTTACTTTGACTTCCAAACAAACCCAAAGAAAAGTCGACATGCTATGAGAAATAAATAGAAATTACAAATCTGTCACTAAAAAAGTAAAAATATATTTGAGAATATTAATTATTTCATTCCTATAATTTCATCCTAACTCGGCAATCCTAAGATTAAATGTGTATTTGGATTAAAAAAATTCACAACTAAGGTTAAAAATTAATTGAAGTTAGCAATTTGATGTTAAAATAAAGGGTTAAAGTATAAATCTACCCTCAAAATTTTTCCAGAGATGTAATTGGTATCTTAAAGTATTTAAAAGTGTAATTTTGCCTCAATGTTTTTAAAAACGATACAAATTTACCCTAATGTTACTTTGACGATTAACATTAACTTTTTGACTGTCAAACTTAAATATCTAAAAGCCATGCCACTTGCCATTTCATGCCCTAAAAATTAGACATGATCGGCATGGAATATATGCACAAACATACATCCCTTCAGCCTTAATTAAGGAAACTTCACTCTAATATTTTAATTTAATTAAAAATAGGATGAAAAGTTGTTATAATATTTTTATATAAATAAAAGTTATTAAACTTTTTTTCTTAAAAAAAATTCTGAGAGAACCTTAACTGTAAATAGAACTCACCAAAATCTTTACAACACCAAGGTACAATCCAACTCAAAAATGCGGAGTTTTGCTTCTCCACAACAGACAAATAAATGACATATCAAAATTCCTTTTATAGTTAATGTGGAGCATCTAATCATGATTTTTAAAATATAGTGCATAATTAAACATTCACATCAAAAGGAATGTCTCCTCAAAAGGTTTCCTCATCAATTCAACAACGAGCCTCTCAGAGATCAATAGGCGATAGATTATCAGCTATGCTATTTGAGACCAAAAATATTTTCAGTAAATAACGTCCCAACAATAAACAATTAAATATGAATAAAAAAAAGTTTGAAACGATTCTGTAAGTTAGAGATAACAATTCTTATAAAAATTTAATAAACTTCGAAATAAAATGGCTCTATATAACT